GAAGAAAAGGTAGAGAAAACCTTAATTAGGCTAGTCATGGTAATTCGTACCACCTGTAATTCCAGCATTCACAAGAGACTGAGGGACATGAGTTGAAAAGGCCAGCCTCGGCTATAGAACAGGTGTTATTTGAAAAGAGAAGGGTATTCCTGCTATGGAACCCCTTCCATCCTCTAGAGCTTTCCTTACTTTTCCTTAATAAATCCATGTTTGCTCTGAAGATAAATACAATTTTAAAATGGTAATGAGGTGCCTAGGGAAATGGCTCATTGCCTGAGAGCACACGCTGTGCAAACATGAGAATCTGAGTCTGAATTCCCAGCAGCCATATAAAAGCTGTTGCACCTGTATGCCAGCACTGAGGGGCAGATCCAAGGAGCTCAATGGCCAACCAAATAGCCAAAACGGTGGGCTTCAGGTTTAGTTAGAGTCCCAGTCTTAAACATCACATGTTCTCTCTCATCTAAGGCTCAGCTCCAAATCTTCAGAGGAGTACATACAGCCTAAAGTGACTGTAGAAATCAGGAAAGAGAAAAGGGACCATTGCTGGGGTGGGGAAACAACAGAGAATGATATACTGGGGTAAAAGTGATCTGATGTGAGGAGAGGAAAAATAGGGTAGGGCTCTAATTAAGGAGTAGAGAGGGAGATAATAAACACAGAAGGACAGGAGGGTAAAACAACCATAAATAAGGGTGTTTGGGAAAAAAAAAAAACATACCATTAACAATCTACCTAAAAACAAAACAAAACAAAAAAAAACTATAATACAATTAAGTCTGTATATAAATGAAATTTTCTCATCTGGGCTAACAATGTTCTCTCCAAGAACCAAAGACCATCTAATAAAAACACAGTAACAATCTTGAGAAGCCCTCTTTTGAGCTGTTTTTCAGGATTGTCCAAGAGACTCCTAAAACATTGTAGGCTATAGCTATCACCCTTGGCTACCCCCCCTCCCCAGAGGTGGAAGGCAAGTCCCTATTAATGAAAACACTATGTACTTCAGACACAGGGCCCAAACACCTCTTAAGCAGGAACTAACCAGAAAGCCTCCTCCCTAAAGACTAGCTTTCTTGGTACCAGCAGGTGCCATGCAAGCTTCTAAAGGAGGGAGTCAACCAACAGTGCTACCCAGCTGTGACTGCAATAAACCACAACAGCTGGTCTGGTAAGGGAGCAATAGTGGCACACATGCCCTGGTTGCAACCAAAGGCTCTCTGGGCATGGAAGAACACACCAACTGGTTGTCTGATACCAAATGGTCTGCCCTGAAAACTTACATACAAGTCATATATAAACTGAAAAAGAAGCCATGAATTTGAAAGTGAGCAAGGGTATATGGGGGTGGGGGCTTATTGGGAAGAAAAGGAAGGGGAAAATTATCAAGTTAAAAATTTTATAATAAGGTACGGGTTAGGTAGGGGTTATGCAGACAGGGATAGAAGACATCCAATATTCTCATTTAGCTTCTTCCTCAGACCTGTAACACATGCTCAAACATAGACATATGCATAAACATATATACACTTCCCTCCCTTTCCCACACCACACCAATAAGCAATAAGAATAGTAACAAAAAATGACCCAGACTCCCCGAATGTGGATGTTAGGAGGACTGGGCAGTCTATGTGGCCTCTAGTAATGGATCAGTATTTATCCCTAGTATAGGAATGGACCTTGGGAGCTCATTCCACATAGAGGGATACTGCCTCAGCCTAGACACATAGGGGAGGGCCTAGGCCCTGCTTCAAATGATATGACAGACTTTGAAGACTCCCCATGGAAGGACTCACCCTCCCTGGGGAGCAGAAAGGGGATGGAATGGGGGTTGGTGGGCAGAACAGGGGAGGAAGGGAGGGTGCAGGAACTGGGGTTAATGTGTAAAACAAACTTGTTTCAATTAGTAACAAAAAAGAAAAAAGATTTAAAACAAAACAACACAAAAAAGGGTGGATGTAGTAGTGCACAGCTTTTATTTTGGAAGAGATTGGAAGAGAGACTCCTAGACCTCTGTGACTTGAGGCCAATATGGTCTACATAGCAAGTTCCAGGCCAGCCAAGGCTACATAGTAAGATCTTGTGTGTGTGTGTGGGGGGGGGGGGGGGGGGAAGGAAAAAAGAAAAAAAAAAGGACAAGGATCTTTTCTTAAGATACTCTTTGGCTGTCAAATCAGTCAGAAAAAGAATCTTTATACAAAATATTGCCAAAAGAAAAAATAAAAACAAAAATGCAAAAAAAAAAAAAAAAAAAAAAAAAAAAAAGTCCTTGGAAATGGTTGTTGCTTTTAAAACTAAAAAGAGAATTGAAGGGAAAAATGGAAAAGGGGGAGGAAGGCACAAGCCCAAGCAATGTTACATTAATACAATTCCTATCAGCTCAAAATTAAATCCTCAGCCAGACTCCCTGGGACAATAACATGGGAGAGATAATAAACTGTTTTAGAAAGGTAGTCTTATCTGAACTGATTAGAAAAGCAAAACAAGCCACCATAGACCCTGATGTGCAGCCAGGTCTAGCAAGCAGCAGCATCCCTCAAATCAGACACAGGAATGAAAACCTGTCCTCAATTGGTTGGTTGGCTGGTGGTTTTTTTTTTTTTTTTTTTTTTGGTTTTTTTCAAGACAGGGCTTCACTGTGTAGCCCTGGCTGTCCTGGAACTCATTTTGTAGACCAGGTTGGCCTCAAACTCAGAAATCCACCTGCCTCTGCCTCCTGAGTGCTGGGTTTAAAAGTGTATACCACAACAGCCCAGTTTATCTCAAGTTTTAAAATATCTTAGGCAGAGGACCATTACAGATATATTTTACTTGGAGATTGAAGCAGAAGGATTACTTGAGGCTATGGCTTCAAGGTCAGACAAGGCAACATAAGATTCTGCTTTAAAAAAGGAAAACAAAAGCTTTATGTTCAAACACACATAAACACATATATCTGTAAATATAGAAAACAAACATCTTTAGAAACAATGGCAAGTGCATCAAATGAAGAAAAACGCAAGGGTCATTAGTCTACAAATACTAGCCATAATCTAAAAGTTTAGAAAAGTGCTCCTGAACAACTACAGAAAATACATGAAATGGAGCTGAACAGTCAAATGGTTAAACAGAAGAGGAACAAGGCAAAAGTTATCCCAGTGTTTCCAGTCTTAATAGGTGACTAATGATGTCATTAGCCAATGAATGCAAAGCAGAAGGGAAGTTGATTTGAAAGTTAGAAAAACCAATACAGAAAAAAATTCAAGTCTTAGCTACTCATAATGGTCTACAACTTAAGTAGAATGTCTAGGTGTTCCTTTCATTACACTGCTTTGTTGTATATTTTAGGAATGGGATATTGATAACGATGCCCAGGCTCACCTCCAGTTCCTGTGCTCAAGTAATTTTGAGACCCAGCCTACAAAGTAGCTAGGCAGATGTGGCTTAGTCTTTAAATAGTAATAATAATAGTAATAATAATAAAATATACACATAACACACTCAACAAATAAGGGTTAAAACTAAAAAACACACTGCTTCTATACATCTCAACATATATACCACATAACCCGGAGGAAAATGGGAGATGGAGGTAGTGCATTTGCTTTGACCTATTGAGTCAGCAGAAAGTGCTCGGAAGTGGTTGGCATATGGTAACGATGTATGGAAGCAATATATGAGGGTGAGAACGTTCAAGGGGAATCTATGGACGACCTTGTAGTCTAGCAATATGGGGCAACAGCAAGAGCAAATAACCAAGTCTTAAAGTATCCCAAGAGACTGTAGTTTTTACTGCTCTTCTAAAAGCACACTGACGAAATAAAAGCAGCCTATCTTTAAAACAAATAAACAAAAAAAGCTACCATTCCAGGAGCAAGCACAGAAAGTTACAGAACTCCTTGCATTATTAAATCAGAAAAAAAATTAATCAGTCGTATCAAAAAAGTTGAGGCAAGCATGTTTGAGGGTAATGTCTCCCTTCTCTCTTGCACCATTACTGTTATGTCGTAGGTACTGTGCTAAATGTGTTACCCTCTTCCGTTCTCATTAGCCTGTTAGGAATTGATGCTAGATATCAACAGCAAATAGTTCAGTCAAATCTCTTAAGGGGCACATTAACTTTCATCTGTTACCCCATACCACATTATGCCTACAGTTCCTCATTATGATCAGGCTATGATATGGATTTTTCCCTCCTCTGTAGTGCTAGCATCTCCATGTTTGAGCTTATGTACTTCATTACTTTATCCTTACGGCTTGAAAGAAAGAAAACCCTGTAAACATTTTGTTTAAATGCCTAACAACTAAGTAAGAGTGGCAACAAGAACGTTGATCTAAGCTGTGAGGTAGTGGCACGTCTTTAATCCTAGCTCTCTGAAGGTAGAGACGAGTGGATCTCTGTGAGTTTGAGGCAAGCCTGGTTTACAAAGCAAATTCCAGGACAGCCAGGGTTGTTACAGAGAAACCCTGTCTTGGAAAGCCAAAAAGAAAAGAGAAAGTCGATATAATAAAGTTTCCAAAGAAAATGCTTGTCAGTAGCATCAAATGATTAACGAAGAAAAAAAATCATGAATATATCTCATCATTCACAGAACCATCTTATTCATTTAGCCAAGAGCTTACTACATGCAGAAAAGAACAATATGTTAAGCACTAAAAGACAGGAAAATAAAATCTGGAACACACTAGAAGGCTTTGGGCAAGAAAGCCTCATCTAAATCCGTTCAGGAAAGCCATCAAGACTACAACTGCTTGCATCTTATTTGGCTCGGGTAGATCTGAAGGCACATTGAAAGGGTTAACAGTGCATCCTTTAGTAAAACTTGCGATGAAAGACAAGATAATAAAAAAAAAAAAAAAAAAAAAAAAAAACTATCAGGGCACCTCCGCCTCGGTGATCACAGCCTGAGGAGACGAGGGTAGACTCCCGCAGAAGCGTCTCGCCCAAACTAGGGATCCGGCTGTCCCGGGGCTACCTTCCGGAAGCGCAGAGTGAGGAAGACCCCCACCCACACACTCACCGCAAAAGGCACCACTAAAGCCGTGGCCCCACAGGGCCGGCGAGTCCGTGGCGAGGCCCCACGCCGCAGAAGGAAACCCAGGAACACTGGAAGCAGAAGGACACGGGCGACCCCGAAGCCCAACTTCCCAGCTACATAAACTAGGGGCCCAGCGCCCAGCACCGTGAAGCCAACTCCCACCAGCTGGAACACCGACGACTGCCACCGAACCTTCCGCCCAATGAGGAGACGTCATCACTCAGCGTAGACCAGCCCTCCGTGAAGAAAACACACTTCCGCTTCCGGGGCACCAGGCGCGTTTTGGCGACTCGCCTCCGCTAAGGGTTTTGAGGGGGGGAAGTGTTCCTGTACTTGAGCTGACCTTTGACCTTAGTATTCTACCTGTATGTCACTGCGGCCAAGCAAGCCCTCTCCGGGTGCAATCTCCAGGGAAAGTCAGGACTCGAAGAGCCACTTCGAGAAAAAGCGACTAGGCGACTGAGTGCAAAATAACTAACTCCGCATGGGGGCCGAGGCTTGGAGCTCCTGCAGCCGCGAGGGGCGGGGTCCCCGGAGGGGCGGGGCTTAGCGTCTAGGCCTTCTTGAGCGGAGGGCGGGGTCGCGGCGAGCGCGGGGTCTAGCTGCGCATGCTCACTGCGCACCCGTTCCCGTCCTGCTTGCAGGCTGCGCCATGGACTTTGGTACCGCTCAGCGAGCTGTGCTCCAGCTGCTCGGTACTACGGCTCCAGCAGATGTCCCGGCACTGCTCCACTGGATGAGAAATACCCGTAAGCTGCAATAGCTAGAGCCCGGCGGTTTGCTGTTGGCTTTGATCTTTGGGTACCGGGACAGGGCGGGGCTGTGTGCTAGGCAGTCTCTAGACAACTCCTGACCGCCGCAAATTCACACCTGATCATCACAGTGCATTTTAGGATTGGATGCCTGAAAAGCGACTTTAGATAGTTTGCGATTCCTGTGCTGATTTTAGACAGGCTTCTAGAACATCTTCGTTCAGTTACTCGCACAAGCGGATTCTACCTGGAATAGCAATTTTCAAAAAAAGTTTTAGGCTGTAGAGTTATCCTCAAGGTAAAAAAGAAAGATCACATGTAGCTAGTACATTTATTTTATACATGGTAAAATACACCATTTATTAACAATCGGGGGGAGGGAAGGAAAAGAGACTTAAGCTATTAATAGTAAAAGTGAGAAGACACAAGTTAGAAGAGGAAATGTGATTAGATCTAGCTATCGGGTAAAATTGTTCTTTTCTAGCAAAGTAAAGTCTACTGAAAGTATCGTCTTATTTATAGGTTATCTCCCTTTTGAGAACTGTACCAACGTATGTACTTCTACACCGGAAGACGTTAATTCTCAAGATTACTTTTATTCATACCCATTACTTGAAATATTTTTATTTGATGGTGACTTTCAATGTATTTCTGTTTTTTAAGGCAAGGTCCCAAGTAGTGCTGGTAAATCTCAAACTTAACAGAGGATGACTTAGAACTTCTGGTCCTCCTGCATCCATCTCTCTATGCTGGTGCTGCAGGTCAAACCCAGGCCTTCCTGCTTGCTGAGCAAGCAGTCTACCTTCTGAGCTACACCCTCAACCACAATCTCCAGTTTTAGATCTTCAACCTTGACCTGTTAGGAAAAGTGTTCTTAGTGTAAAGACAATCAATGCCTTTAGGTGTTATAATAATGATTGTTAAACATTTTGAGAGATTTTTTTAAGTGAGACAGCAACCTAAAGTTGACTTAGGCATCTGGTAGCAAGTTTTTCTTGGAAAGTATAACTCCATGGTTATATACACATACAAGAAGAGTGTTTCAAGATAGGAATTTACAAAATATGTTTTGTTTGGGTTTTTTTTTTTTTTTTTTTTTGAGACAGCCTTACTATAAGCGTGTTGTCTTCCATCACTTCATTAAGCCCTAACTTTCACCCACCATCACCTAGTTATTATTGTTTGTTTGTTTGGTTGGTTGGTTGGTTTCTCAAGAAAGGGTTTCTCTACATTATAGCCCTGGCTGTCCTGGAACTCACTCTGTAGACCACACTGACCTCAAACTCAGAGTCACCTGCCTTTGCCTCCCAAGCGCTGGGATTAAAGGCGTGCACCACTGCCTAGCCTAACAACACCAACTTCCTTCTAGTCATTATTCCAAAAGAATTATTGAACTGTGTTCATAAATGAACATATGATTTCAGGAATAATGATTTCTACCTACAGATAATATATATTGCAAATAATATACACATATTATTTGTATATAATTTATACTGAATATGTATGCGTATATACATATATATTATTTGTAATATATTACATATATATTTGTATCTACCTAAGCCAAAAAGAAATATGTGTGTGCATCTTTGTAAACTGTGTATGAATACTGACTTGTCTACGTTCATATTGTGGAGGTTATAATGACGTGCTTACAATGAAATCACAGATAATAAATAAATATTTGAAATTTTAAAATAAATTATTGACTACAAAAATGTAGTACTGGAACTGAAGAGATGGCTTATTTGTTAAAGGTTCAGGCTCACCACCAAAAATGTATCGTGGGCTAGAGTGATAGCGAGCTCAATTAGTAAATTGTAGGGGTCTGCAAACCCCAGAGCTGGCAGAGTAATGAGTGAGGCAAGAAGAACATCCAATTCAACATGACTCAGTAGCCAGTGTTGTTTCAAACTTCTAGAGTCTTGACATTGGGTATATTTAAGTATAGCACAATTTGAGGGGGGAAAAAAGTTTCCTGGTGTAACACAATCCTGTGTGCACAAGGAGGCATAATTACATGGAAATACATGGAAGCGCTTCTCAAAGTATGTCACTTCTTCCACGAAGATGGGTTTTAGAGGTAGGCTACATGTGTTATCTTAAGGGCCTGGGGAAGATCTGGTGTAGTCTTGGTCATACAGATAGCCCAGAGGTCATCTGGTTCTGCTTGAGGGATTTGTGTATATCCTGGCCCTACAGATAGCACCAAGATCACCCAGTGCAGTGGCTCTCAACCTTCTAATGAATGCTACAGCCCTTTAAATCAGTTCCCAGCCATAATGCTATTTTGTTGCTATGTCATAACTATAATTTTACTGCTGTTATAAATCATAATGTAGCTGGGTGTTGGTGGCACGCACCTTTAATCCCAGCACTCTGGAGGCAGAGGCAGGTGGATCTCGGTGAGTTCAAAACCAGCCTGGTCTACAGAGCAAGTTCCAGGACAGAGCCTCCAAAGCAATACAGAGAAAAAACTCTGTCTCAAAATAAATAAATAAATCATAATGTAAATATCTGATATGTAGGATATCTGATATGTGACCCCTGTGAAATCGTCCAAGACCCAAAGACTGAGAACTACTGACCTAGGCTTTTAGCCACCTCCAGTCCCAGCCTTCTGAGAGAAAAATCAGGTTTTTATTGCTGTAAAGAGACACCGTGACCATGGCAACTCTTGCAGGAAAAACACTTAATTGGGTCTGACTTACAGTTTCAGAGCTTTAGTTCGTTATCATGGTGGGAGCATGGCTATGTGTCAGCTGTAGGTGCTGTAGAAGGAGCTGAGAGTTGGGCGTCTGGATCCACAGGCAGAGAGCTGACTTGAGCCATGGCTCCAGCCACCACCCACCTTGTTTTGTTTTGTTTTGTTTTTAGGGATTTTTATGCTACTCTGAAACCAGCCTTCTACTCAGGAAGTCTGTGTAATGTATTAGGGGGAAAAAAAACCTTGAGTTTCTGACGAATGTTTATTAACATGAATATTTTAAGAAATTAGATTACTTAACTTGAACGAGGGTTTGTTTGGGGTTTTTTTGGGGGGAGGGGGTGTTGGTGTTTGTTTGATTTTTCTTTTTTTTTTTTTTTTCAAGATGCCCTGGCTGTCCTGGAACTAGCTCTGTAGTACTACTTCTGCTTCCCAGGTGCTAGGATTAAAAGCATGCGTCACCACTATCCAATTTATGTTATTGTTTTTCTCTTTTTAAGATTTATTATATATATATATATATACATATATATATATATATAGTGTTCTGCCTGCATGCCAGGTAAGGAGGGCACCAGATCTCATTACAGGTGGTTATGAGCCACCATGTGGTTGCTGGGAATTGAACATGGGACCTCTGGAAGAGCAGCCAGTGCTCTTAACCTCTGAGCCATCTCTCCAGCCCTTGTTTTGGTTTTTTAAAGTGGAGTTTCATTCTATAGCCTAGGTTAGCCTTGAACTGGGGATCTTCTAAGCTCTCTCTGCCTCCAGTGTAACTGGGATTACAGATGTGCCATCTGTACCTGTTTGTATGGTCAACCAAAACAAGAAGTATATTATTACACCTGTTTATTCTTGTAAGTGGTGCAGAGCACAAAATTTCAACATTTACATTTCAATTACCTGTTCAAATTACATTTCAACACATAAGTGGTTGTGTTTGTTTTGGCAGACTCTCATGTAGCCCCAGCTGGCCTTGAATTCCTTGGTTAGCCAAGGATGACCTTAAACTTCAGATGCCCTTGCTGCCACTTCCCAGCTGCTGGGATTTCAGGCCTTCTTCACCTGCCTGGTTTATTCAGGGCTGAGGGTAGCCCTGAGCTTCATATGAACCAGGCAAACATTCTACCCGCAGAATTACTTCTGTACCCATTCTCCTGCAAAATATCATGATTTCATTTTTCTTTATGGTTAAATAAAATTCCACTGCATGGATAGGCCACATTTTCTTCATCTGTTCATCTGTTGATGGACATCTAAACCGACTCCATTTCGTAGCTATCGTGAGTAGTGCAGAACAAACATGAGTATGCCTCTGTCTCTGTGGTATGTTGATGTAGAGTCCCTCTGTTATATATTGGGGAGTGGTATAGCTGGCTTATATGATGGTTCTTTTCTGAGGCACCTCCATACTGATTTCTGTAGTGGCTGCACCAGTTTCCATCCCCATCAGTGTATGGAAAAATTCCTTTTCCCCACATCCTCACAAGTATTTGTTGTTTGTTTCCATGCTAGCCATACTGTGGGGTGAATGGAATCTCAAAGCAGTTTTCATTTGCATTTCCCTGATAACTAAGGATGTTGAACACTTTTCAAATATTAGTCACTTGTGATGAGTGGAGTTTTAACATTATATGTACACAATAGAATATTATTCAGCCTTTGTTATTAGTTTGCTTGCCTGCCTACCTGCTTTAGTGGCGGCATTGAACCTAGGGCCTCCCACATGCTACACACACAGTTTTACCCTAGACTAAGCCTCAGCCTTTAAAAAGAAGAAAATTCTGTTACTTGCAATAGCTTAAATAACTCTAGAGAGTGTTGTGTTATAAGCAATAAGCCAGGCACACAAAGACAAATACTGTATTACCTCACTGTATCTGTTACTTTTCTCAGCTCTATGGCCCAAATAACCTCAGAAGAGGTAACTTAGAGGAGACAGGAATTTTGGGAGGTAGTTTACTCACATCTCCCACAGCAAATCAGGAAGCCAAGACCATGGGCTAAACCAGGGGCCTTTGTCCCTCTAGCCCCTCCCCTATGTGTCTGCCAACTAGGCCTTTTTTTCACAAAGTTCCACAACATCCCAAAACAGCACTGCTAACTTAGGATCAGGTGTTCAAACACATTCAAAGCTCAGAGCTCACATGTAGAGTAGGAAACTGCCAAACTTAGAACTATAGGGTTGAGTAGAAGTCCCTACATGTAACGTAGGGAATGGGGTTGAAAAGGGGGAGATGTTGATCATGAGATACAGAATTTATTTCAGAATTTTATTTATTTGTCT